TTACAAACACAATGGCTTTATATAAGCTTATTACAAAGAAAAAGATATCAACAAAAAAACAAACTCCACGTTCACAACTCTTAAGAACATATAAGTGGATCTAAGACAAATTTAAACAACAATTAATATTAACATAACGAGTAACCAACTAAGTAATAAACACGAATAAGTCTAAGCAATTCTAATGCTTCAACAAATTCCGCATCTAAGACAAATTTAAACAACAATTGATTACCCTACAAGCTAGGGCATTATTAACATAATGAGTAACCAACTAAGTAATAAGCACGAATAAGTTTAAGCAATTCTAATGCTTCAACAAATTCCAGTTTCCACGCGTAATTAAAGGGTTTTTATATCTATATACATGGACATGACTTTTGAGTCTAGAAATCATTAGACAAGGTAAAAGAAATTGTACAGTATCTGATTGGGGAAGGAATATGGCAAGCATAGTTAGATTGGTTTCCTTATCTAGTATTTACAGTTTGTGACAAGGCTAGTATTGCAGATGCATGGATTTATATTATCCATTTGGAGTATTTTGGATTATGAATAGAGGCTAACACTACACCAATAATGAACAGTAAAACTATTACTTTGTAGACAACTGCCTTATACTTAACTCCTCTACGTGGACTATGCCCCCTATCTCTCAATGTCTTTTTTAGTGACCTTAAAGTTACTTTTCTTGAATTTGAGGTCGAGAGACTTGTAGCAAAGCTAAAAGTTGAATATGTGCTCGGTTGTAGCAGTATTTCTGATGTTCGAAAGGTGACTTTGAGCCTCTAGCCTTATGTTTTATTAGAAATCTAAGTTAAAAGATGTTGCTTATCAAGTTGTGAGTCTTTTCTATGCCAAAACCAATGAGTGATTGGCAATAAAAAGTGCTTGATTGCATACAGATGGAATATGCAAGCATTGATGCTTGTTGATAAGCTTATTGACCTCAACTCATTCTTTTTTTTGTTAATTTATTTGCATGGATTGTTGAGCAAACATAAGGTCTTAGAGAAAGAGATAGAAAGCATGTCAAACATCATATTGTTTCTCCTTGCTTTTTCCTTTTACAAAATTGTCATTGATGTCTAGTTTTTTTTGCATTTCCAGAATATTTTTGAAAAAAATTGAATTTTTTTATTTGCTTTAAATTAATATTTTTGGGTGTTTTTCTATCATTTTAATACACTGATGTCAAAAATAATTTTTTAATATTTTTCTGAGTGAAAAATATGTTAAAAAACAACTATAACCACACTGCCAATCACCCTAAATTGTTTATTTTAAAATCTTATAGATGCAACATAGGTTAGAAGTCCTCTTATATACAGGGATTTGTGAGAAATTATTATGAGTTCTTACTTAAAAATGGTGATGCACTTAACATTGCAAGCACCTTCATCAAGGTTTTGATATTAATCATTATGTTCGAGTATATTTATTTGTGAAACTTTCTTTTTGTTTTGGCTTAAAATTCTTGAAATTTTGTTGGTGTTTGAAATTAATAATGGTTATTTTTTAATTTTTAAAGTATTTTATATTTGAAAAAAATATTTTTGATATTGGCACATTAAAAAAAAATAAAAACACAAAAAAATTATTTTTTAAAAAAACATTTTAAAATGTAAAAATAAATGATATCTTAAAACAATTTTTAAATATTTCAATT